CAAATATTAACAATCTATCATCCAAACAGTCGCACTATCGTAATAACTCCCACAAATGAATCGAGAAATAAAGAACAATACGATCGCATACTGCAAACCTCCCGCGAGGCAACATAGAATTGGAATAACGAATAGTATGATCACGATCGCTTATACAGCACAGACATACATCGTTTTGCAACGAACAGCGGCGGGAGCAAAATAAATTGGTGTAAATTTTGATGTGGAAGTGGATTTGGAGTGAACTCAAGTTCCTTCTTGTGTTGTTAGTCTCACAGCAAATTTTAGTTCTTTCTGACCTCCAAGGTATCGAACACGTACGAAACTAAACCATGTGGATGAGCTCTCAAAGGGAGTTCTCAATACATGTGGAACACACGCCTTTTATATTTGGCTACGAGAATCGTTACTTCCGAGATTGTCAAACGGTTATAAGAACGGTTACATGTCACTCTCGGGATATATTTGAGTCATGGTATCGTGGTATGCATAATCCGAGATGCGCATTAATTAGTCTAACTTAGTTGAGATGCTAAGGTGTCGACCACGTAATGTTTTACGTGGGTGATCCATGTCGGCTATGCTATCGATCGTGTATTGGATGTCTACCACTTGTGTGGTGCTGAGGTGTCAATCTCGTATTGTCTATATGACTTCGAGTTGTCGACGTGTTGCCTACTACATGGTGTTGAGGTGTCGATCAGATTATCGATTTTGTATCATTAGCCTCTCGCTTCTCGATTTGCTCGAGAGTAGAGAGTTTGAGTCAAGAAGTGATCTATGATACATAACTTTCATAAGCAGTTGACTAAGTGTTATCGATATGCACATTCGATCGTTTAGATTGTGCGCCGTTGATTTGCATGTTCAGTCGTTTCTATTACATATCATCAAATACATGTTCGATCTTTTGATTACGTGTCGTCGTATCCATCAAACATGTAAATGGATGATGTGCAGCTGAAATAACCGAACATTCAAATTGATGACGCACAATCGAAATGATTGGACACACAAATCAACGACGACATCCAACCAACTACTACTCATGAAAGTTATTTTGCAACATCGACTATGTAACCTATAGAAGCGAGGGGACTAAGGATATGGAAATGACACAGGCAACACGTGACCAACACCTTGACACCACATGGCTCGCAGGCATCCATCACACGATCAACAACAACATAGCACCGTGTGGCCAATACGCCAACAGCTCGAAGCCACGTAAACGATATGTGACCAACATCTCATCATCTCAACTATCATCTCGACTAATTAATGCATGGCTCAAGAGTGACACATAACCATTCACTATAACTATCTATCTACTTCTCAAAACATACTATAAAAAGGGGACTCCCCGAGTACCATTCCACACAAATTGAGAACCGCTGAACCATCCAAATCCAAAAACTGACTTAAATATCAAAAGGGCATAAATCAAGAATACCCCCAACTTAATTTTATACATGAGATGTTTGCACATGAGATGCCAAACCCACGAGGATCCAGCGAATCAGCCGGCTTACCTTATCATAGTGAGATCTACAAGTCTTCAGATCAAGAAAACTAGATCACCAAAAATAAACAAGGCAAGAACTTGAAGAAACCATTGGCACAAGCACTATTCTGATGGACGAACAGCACGCTTTTCATCAGTTGCATCCGCATGTTTGCTGCAACAAACCGAAACAAAAATACAACACCACCAACAACAAGGAGGTGACAAGAAAAAGTACCCAAGTTTGCAACAGCAGTTTTTAGTACCCATAGCAGTTCTTGATTTTGACAGTTGCATGCTTGAATACCAAATTAGTCTGTCCACCGATACACGCCCCACCATCCCTCTGGGAGCAACATGGTTTTCTAACAATATTAAGCGAAAAAGGAAGCATTAATCATGCAAATGGTCTGAAAATTTGGGCTCACCAAAATCCTATTTACACTTCCTCTGGGTCAAAGACGGGCACAACAGTTGCTTTTAGACAATGATTAGTACTTTTTGGTAAAATATACAGGGATCTTGAGCCCCCGCCAAACAATTTAAGCTATTGTTTTTGCTGCTGTTCGGTTCCATGAAATCTTCGTCCGGCTTCAACAGTCTCCCTATTGAAATAAGAGGAAAGAGTGAAATTAATAAACAATTATGATTAACAAAATCTGGTACTCAAAGCATATTCGGAGTATTATGATCACCAAGTGACTCGGCATGTCAATTGTTAATGCCAATGCAAACACAGAGCATTCGTTTTACAGCATAGCCTCAATTCAGAGTAACTCATGGACAAAATAGTGGTTTATTCATATAACAAATTTGAATAGTTCATTCTAGTTTGTTCTAAGGTTTCAACCGAAAAAACAGAGCACTATTTATCCTTTCTTCCCGTGCATGCAATTACAAACTGATAATGGAATTCATGGTTTACAATATATCTATACCTGAAAGCATCTACAAGCTCCTTGTTCTCAGGATCAAGCTTCACTCCCTCATAAAAGGCACTTGCTGCTTCATCAAAATTCTGATAAAGAAAAAGGGAAATAATAAGCTCATTACAGAAGTATTTTATTCAACCAAATATCTGAAGAAGAGACCATACTTGTAATAGACGTAGTGCTGCACCTTCCCTGTAGCAAGCTTTGGCCCAGTCTGGCCTCAGCGCTCTGCAAGCCCTAGCATCAGCCAAGGCCTGTTCGCCTTGTCCAAGACGTATCCAGCAGAGGCTTCTATTTGATAGCAAAGCAGCTTCATTTGGGTCCAGATCAATAGCCTGAATTATAATTAAATATGTTACAATTCCACAGGATAGTATGAATAATTTCAGTGAGATGATTAGTATGAGATCAGGATGGCAGTCTAAGCTTTAGTCCGAATGGGTGGACAAGCTGGAGATGATTTAATGAATTGCTATTTACATTAACAGAAGTTGAACTAGTGACGACCAAGTAATACTATGACATCGAGATATCATTTATTCATTAAAAAAAAAAAATTGAATGTGCATCACACATTAAATATCATGGACTAGAACTCTAATAAGAATCTTACTTCAGGTGACAACCAGAAACCCAGTTTAGCCACTAGAACGACATAAGATCACGGATTGAGTAACTACAATTTATCTGTCATAAGTTCGTCATGGCAAAGTGGCTTAAGAACTGCAGCTTTAAGGATCTGAGCTTACACAGACACATATAGCTGGTGTCCAGTATACTTTATTTACCTGCACATTTCTAATTGTATTTACCCCTATAATTGTCTTTTTTCAGACCCAGGAGGATAATGTTGTTTGAATTGTAAACATTCTCAGAATTTTGTGCTTCCTCTTGTGCATTCATCTACCTTTTATATCACCATATTTGCTGGTTAAAATCCAACAATTTTTTAGCCCATCAACATTGACACATCAAGGGTCAAAATCACATAAACCAAATTCAATTGACAAACTAAATTTAAACCAAACCTAGGATCCATATATCTGAATTCAGTATAACATGACAAAACTACAGCCAACCTGAAACAAACCAAGAAGACAAATATACATCATAAATTACAATAAATCTAGAGCTATATCTAGCAAAGACTCGGAACTAGTTTTCTTTGTTTCTTTCTAGAGAGTATTTTCTGTAGCAATCATAGATACCTTAACTGTAATGATAAATAGAGACCAATTTTTTTATCAAAAACCAAAGACAAGGGATTGTGATAAACATGCTTCCGATTAAAACTGTTCAATATAAATCTCAATTGAAGTCATCTACAATTGAATGTTCAATATAATTAAAAAATGCCAAGCATTACTTTAAATAACAGGATGACATTGAAAAGGTGACTCATCAGATGTTTGTCTTAGCTTATTAAAGATGCAAAAAAATCTCATTCAAACGTTACATAAACTAAAATGGTAAAAAATTAAGTGAAATTTGGATTAATGAAATTTTATTAAAACTATAAGTAATTGAACAGCACAGACACCCACCCAAAATAAATGCTTCAACCTAAATATAGAAAAGATCAAACAAAGGATTCAGATTCACGCCTTTGGCCACCACCCTATTATCAATCACAATTCTTCTTTCCAATTTGCATTCAGCATTAGATATGTGGTAACAGATGTGATCTCTTGTCACTTTGGGTTTGGAACAACTTAATCACCATAATGGTTCAAGAACCACAGATGTGGTGGGAGAGTAAGTGTCATCAACAAAATTTTTTTGCAGCATCAGAGATATGTTATCAACTAGAGACTCAGTTGATAGAAATACATTTATTCCTCCTAGGTTAGTATATGCAAATCCATAAAAGAACCATTTGAACTTGTAGTTGTTGGTCAATATCTTAATCCAGCCCAAGGAATTACCTGGGTGTAAGCATCTACTGCCATCTGGTAGTCCTTTTTCCTGAAGGCATCATCACCTCGTGACTTTGCTTCCACAGATCTCTTTTTAGATTCAGGAGTTACCTGCATAATTGAAATGAGCATTTGAAGTGTTTTAACAAGATAGTTGAACAATGACAATCTGATATACTAGAGCACCTATTTCTTTTTTAGATCTCTTATGGTAAACCACACATAGCACCAATTAAGGCTTAACAAATTAGTGATTATTGGTTTTAGACTACCAAAGTGAGAATTTTTTAGCAGATAGTCACGGCAGATATGCCTAGTGTAAGAATAAAGGGGTCCCTTGACTGAGGAGACATTGTAGGAAACAAGATATTAACATTTCTAAGAATAGATAAAACTGAAATTCCAATTTCAATTGTAATGTAACTGGGATAGAAAATGACAGGGTACTGACAACAACCATAAGATAGAAAATGAAATCCAAGAGCAAGAGTGACACCTCAACCATCTCTGTTTTATGCAAAATGGCACTCCTTGGCAAGTCAACTTCTCTTCTACTGGCCTGTCAGTTCACATTAGTCCATTAATGGATAAAAGTAAACAGCTACATGCAAACACAAAAGTGAACTAAAAACCTACAAAGCTGTCAATCTTGAAACTTAACAGCAAAGACATATGTTAACTATATCTAGTTTTATGCATGAGTACATGCATAAGTGAGAAGGAAACAAATTTCTTCTACTACTAGATGACTAGGGCCCATCATTCAGAAACCTGTTCCTTGCTTGCTTCAGCAGACTGCATGAATTCAATTAATCCATCTGTGCTCCAGTTTGAAATGTTTGGAACTGGAGATGTTAATGGCAAAAGAACTTCAACAACATCTCTGATATCCCTCAAAGCAGCAACTTGTATTGGCTTTAAACCATCCTGCAACAAAAGTAGAAAATCTAGTTGCATTATGCTTTTGTTTCACAAAGCAGCTAACCATTAAAACTTTGCTGCCAAATTAAGCAGTTAACTGACCAGGATCACTAGTTGATTCCATTAAACAAGTCTCTTGTACATATAAGCTCAAGACATATCCAAAGGAAATGACAGAAAAACGATAATGCCACACAAAAGAAATTGATATCACCAGTAGCAATGCAGTCATGAAGAGACAAACTATCTAATTCATTAATAGTTACTAGTTAAAAATGTCAGCAAAGTCTCAGAGCATTTGAATTTTACACATTCTAGTCATCTGCAGGACAGCCTTACCTAGAGCCAGAGGATTAGATTATGAGGTTCATTCAATTTATTAAACTGGAACAGAGGACTAGAAAAGAGAGAAGAAATGACTAATCCAACTGAAACTTGTACAAAATGATATACTTGAGTAATATGTTGATGAAAGAATAGTTTAGTGATTTTGTCTATATTCATTTTAGTTAGTTTAGTGATTTTGTCTTCTTTATTAGAGTAGAAAGTGTGAGCTTATTTAGTTACAGGGATTCTACAAAATGGTTTACTTCAGAGATCTTGAGCAGGTTGAATCCCAGTAACTAAATAAGCTCACACTTTGTACTCTAATAAAGAAGATAAAATCACTAAACTAACTAAAATGAATATACCTGGAGTATATCAAATTCATTCCTTTCATGTGGAAAGATGCCTGGAGTTGACATCATGGCTCCTTTAAAACAAAAGAAAGCAAGAAGCCAATTGTGCAACAGTTCCAACAACCAAAGGCTAGCTTCAGAAGCATGATTCCTGTTTATCAGATATGACAACTAATCCTTGCCTCAAGAAAAGCAAAAGAAAAGAATAAATCCAAAACATTTTGAGATTAAAAACCCAGATAATTAGAAAATACAATTAATAAGAATTTTAAGCAATGATTGAAATATCATACCATACCAGAGTTTCGAAATTCGCTCGGTACAATATGGTACTATATACCAAACGATATATATATATAT